TATTCCACACAGAGCGGGCAGCGAAGACGTCGCAACATGGAAGGTGTGCGTGCCAAAGTCGATACGGGAAACAGTATTAAGAGAAAACCACGACGCACAATAGCGGGAGACGTAGGAAGCCCGATACTACTGGCCAGGTATGCATAGAGACGCTGGAGCCCATTGGAGAAATTGCCAGACATGCATGAGACTTAAACCAAATAAAATGCAGGCGGCCGGCAAAATGCTACCCCAAGTGCGGAACCATGGACTACGGTGTGCGCAGACTTTGTCGGACCCCTACTTTGATCTAAGCACGGCCACCAAATGCTGTTGGTCTTTATAGATAGATTCTCGAAATGAACGGAAATAGTGCCGTGCGCTATGAGACAGCCAAGTGGCTTAAGAAAGCATATGGGGATAATCGCAAGGTACGGGGTCCCGAAGGTGGTCATAATGGACAACGGAGTGCAGTTTGCAAGCCGCATCTTCAAAAGTTTCCTGCCTGAAATGGGTATTAGACAACAATACACCGCTCGCACACGTCATAGGAGAATCCGACCGACCTGGCAAATAGAACGGACAAGACCATGATAGCGCAGTTCGCAGGGCAGGTGCAGAGAAACTGGGACGAGAAGTGGCCGGAGATTATGCTAGCAGTAAACACGGGCATATCGGAGTCCACCGGCTATACCCCGGCGTTTCTTACCAAAGGCAGGGAGCCACGACTCCCCAGCACCCTATATGATAGGGAAACTTTAGGCACTGACCGAGCTACGGAGACCCCGTAGGAAAACGCCAACAAACTGAAGGAGATCTTTGAGATCGTTCGACAAAATCTGAAAAAGGCATTCCAGGATCAAGCCAAACACTACAATCTGAGGAGGAGGCAATGGACGTCAGCTGTGGGTGACGTAGTATGGGCCAAGGAACACCGCCTGTGCAAAGGGGCCGAAGGATTCGCAGCGAAACTAGCCCCGAGGTACGCTGATCCTTACAAGGTTGTAGATTTCGTCTCTCCGGTGATCTGCAAAATACGCCACATACATACATTGAAAGAGCGGACTATCCACGTTGGTGAGCAAGGTACCTACGTCGAGACGTTTGGGATTGGGACATCAGGAATCTCCGAATTGGGACACAGGTAGCTAAGGTCCAGAGAGCAGCACACGGCTGATTCATGGCGGTTTGTTTCTTACTTTGTCGCAACCACACCCTGGCACATCGCCCGTCGGATCCGTCGGAGTCGAGCAATAGAGTCCTGCGACGAGGAACCGTGAACTCGAGGGGAAAGTTGTCTAGACCCAGTGTGCCTTGTCCGACTGAGCAGGACCTGGCGCGAGGGACGAGCGGTCGATCGATTTGTAGTTTCAAGAGGCGTTGTCCTGAAGAGCCCAACGATTCAGCAAGTCCAAGAACGGCTATCGTCCAAGACCTCAAGGGCCAGAGACCACGATACATCGAGCAAGACACGGAGCAGAGCAGACGACATCGGCAGCGACATCATTAGACATCACCAACAGCCACGACACTATCGCCGCGAAGAACTCATTGAGGAGCGCAGGAACGTCACGTACGTCAAGCAATAGGGTGAGGCTGGGGTGGAACGTTCGTCTGCGATAGGCGTAAAGCGAAGTGGACTGCTAGGCAGCTTCCTGGCGTCACCCTTGACTGTCAGCGCGAACTGAGCAAGAGCCTAGAGGGACCGACCGGGACAGAGCAAGGGACAGGTGGTCATTGTCTCGAAAGACGTTGCCCTGGAGAGCAAGGCACCTGTTCACCGTAGTCTAAGAACGGTAACGATTCCCTAAGCCCGCAAGGCCGATCTCTCTGCGGATCCAAGGTGCGACAAGCGGACTCGGACCATGCCGAGACACAGGAAGTAGTCAGCGATCACCGAGTCAACGCGCAAACGATCTAAGACGGGCAGTATCACGGCTAATAGAACCAGCGCGGGACGACACCGAGACCAACCGAGGCACCCACCGCTATAACAAGTAAAACGAAAATAATCCTACTGTTATCCTTTGAATTCTGTGCTTTCTCACTGATCTACAACTACATTTTCTTTGGATTGTTGATAACCATTTCGGACCCTTCCACCATAATTCACAGGTGGTCAGGTGGGGCTAGAACTAATTCCACTAGATGCTAAGTCTAAAGGTTTTTCTACAGACTTAAAATGGTTCCATTCGGTATTCCTTAATTTTCGAATGTCATCCGTTCTTCGCCTAATGAACTTGACCTTAATATCACCATTTCTTATCCATACTAAAGTGATAGTGGAATAACTCCAAGCATAGATATCTACCTTAGTATCAATGGATTAAATAATTCGTTTGATCAATTTTGATTGGACTATTTCTACTTTAGCTGGCTGTTACGTTTACATAATTCCCTACCCTAGCATATACTACTGCTGCATATGCCTTCTCGGAAACAAGTCCATGAAGCTGTATTATTGAACCATTTTTGAACTAATCCATCGGGGGACTCGAATCTTTTCTAAAAGCAATACATTTTCTTTATAACTTACCCAATAATCTTTTTCTTTCTTGGATAATTCTTGATCCCATTCACTCTTATTTATCCATAGAGTTGAACTAAAAAGTTTTCCTAAAATCACAGGAGCCAGCCAACAGGTCATATATTTCTGATAATGTTGGTAGCACTATCCTTTTGTTTGTCTATTATGACTCCCCGCAATTTACATGAAACTTAAATAAATCCTTTTGTGACTTTCATCGAAGCCCCACGTTTTTTACGCTCTCATTTTCAACATGAATGACAACTTTATTATCTCCGGTGCCTGTTATCTCCCTACAGTCTGCATTAGTTTTAAGGTGGTGGAAATCCATTTCCTTAAATTCAGACCCACTTTTTGTAATTCTTGTGAAATTAATTGAATAAAGTTATTGCCATCTTCTATAGAATCAGCCCCAGTCATTAGGTCACCCATGTAGAAATCACTCCTTATTATTTTACGTACATTTTTATACCCGTTACTTGCAGAGTAAAAGGGGTATACTAGATGCGTCGGAAATTATGTAACAGGCAGAAGGAAGCGTTTCCGATAATGTATATATAATCTTGATCAGGATCACTACCCGAGTCGATCTATGTCTGTCTGTCCGTCCCTATGAACGCTGAGATCTTTGAAACTATAAGAGCTAGGCTATTGAGACTTGGCATCCAGATTCCTGAGCTTTTTGCGCAGCGCATGTGTGTTTCAGCAGGGTGCCACGCCCATTCTAACGCCCACAAGCCGCCCAAAACAGTGGCTCCTACAGTTTTGATGCCAGAATAAAAGTTGTAACTGAAATGCCTTGCTCTCATCAATACCTATCGATTGACCCAAAAAAAGTTTGCCACGTCCACACTAACGCCCACAAACTTCAACAAAGCGTAAATATGAACGCGGATATCTCGGTTATCTCTATGTAGCGGCCATATGCTTCTTCTTGCTGTAAAGCTTTAGTGAGTTGACGTGAGGCATGTCTTAAGCTTCACCTAGCAGGTGGCGATCTGTGGAATTGCCACTCTCGACGTGAGCGTCGCTTTTCGACGAGCTGTTCGATTTGTAGATTTTTCTTCTTTTGGTTGCATTGTGTATTTGTAGATTGTCCTCGTCAAGTTCAGTCCGACAATGGACGTCGGCCCTGCCACCTTGCTTTCCCGAGACCTTCTGCAAGCCGTTAAAGAGTCTGTGACTGATGCGTACAGTCCTCAGCAGCTGAACTGGCAATTTATTCCGCCTGGGTCAACCCATATGGGAGCCTGTGGAAAGCTATTGTCAAGAGCCTCAAGACTTTATTTTTGAAATCAACAGCTACGCGAAAGTATACTTTTGAATAGCTTTCGACCCTCCTAGGGCTTGTCTGAACTCCAGACCTCTATCTCCCATGTCAGAAGATCGTACCAATGTGCTAGCGTTGACACACGGTGATTATTTTGTCGGCGGACCTTTTTTGTTCATAGTGGAACCCAAAGTAAAGGGAGAGTCCAAATTTATTATAGTCCGGTGGCAACACTTAAAGGCTTTCCATCATCAATTCCGTGGGCGATGAAAGGATGAGTACCTTAAAGAGCTCCACAAGCGGAACAAGTAAGTCCTACATAAAATCTAGGTGTCGGTGACATGTTCGTCATTAAGGACGACAATTTGCCCTCAAATGAGTGGCGACTCGGTAGAATATTCGACACCGCCGCAATCATCGACCTGTGCACCTCGACGAGCTTCATGGATGCATCCGTGGCCTCCGCGTATCCCTTGCCGACAACCAATGCGGGAGATGAAGGGATCCGCACGGCGACAACTAGATCGAAGTTCGACGAGGCGATCAAGCTGGAGGTGGTCCTCAAGATCGCGCCTAAGGTGTGGATCCGTACTCCTATCCGAGCGCTAAGTGAGAGCGTGGTCGAGAAGTTTTGGGAGCTACCGCTCGCAGATGAGCGGTTCAATCGGCCAGCAACCATTTCCCTTATCCTTGGCGATGACGTCTACCCCAAGGCCATTCAGCCGGGCTTCCACATGGTCGACGAGGGACTGCCAGTGGCCCAAAAGACGGTGTTCGGGTGGATCCTCTCCGGCACCTGCACACAAGTTTAAGGCGTAGACGACTGGCCGGGTCTCTCCTTTTTTACAACGCGAGCGATTGCAAGGGGGCGGAATGTTCAGGCGTAGTGTACAGCGAATCTGGACCATGGCATCGCTATCACATTGCACCGCTCTCCCAGTGAACCGCTCTCCCGCTCTGTTCCCATCGGACAGACGGACATGGCTAGATCGACTCGGCTAGTGATCCTGATCAAGAATATATATACTTTATGGGGTCGGAAACGCTTCCTTCTGCCTGTTACATACTTTCCGATGAATCTAGTATACCCTTTTACTCTACGAGTAAAGGGTAAACAAAAAAAGTAAGGATGCCTTGTTGTTTATTTCAGATATCTTAACAATATTACAAATTAATATAAAAACTTTTTGCCTTGGTTGACCTAGAAATTAGAAAAAAATTAAAAACTGAATACATTTTGTTCCACAAAAGTGATGATACATTTAAGAATAATCGCACTCGTATCTGTTCTGTTTTGACAATTTAGATATTTTAAGTTAAATTTTTCTCTTTAAAATAATATTACAGTCTCAAGTGCCAAACTCAGTTCCAGTTGAGGAAAAAAAAAGCGACTGAATTTGTATATGAAAGCACCAACAATGTGCTGAAACAGGTAATCTTATCTTACTCAAATTAACTTTTTCCGAAAACAAATTATGTATATGTAATATGTAAAATTTCATATATTTCATAGAGCTTGCGTTCCTTACTGCAATCGTCAGAACTGGCCCGCGATTTACTCAACAATAAAGTAAGCACAGTGTTGTCTGTGTAGTTAGGTTCCTTAGTGGTGATTGTCCCCTTGCATTCGTTTGTATTGTTGCCTTACTGTTTCTCTTTTTAAAAATATAAGAGTGATTTATGTATTGTATATTTTTCCCTTGATCGAGATTGATTTTGATTTCCTTTACCGAGGAAAGGCAAATCTCCTGTTCGATAGGTGGAACAGCTTTAAGGACAAAATTCTGATATATTTTAAACGGCACATCCACAACGAAGACTGCAAGCGACAACTACTTGATGTAGAACGTTGGTAAGTTTTCTGCTTAAGCAAAAAATGTTGTCATAACTACACAATTATTATTTTTAAAGATGCCCAGGATTACTTGACCCTTATTTTGCTTAATGCCGTATTGCCGCCGACATCTCGGGTCTTGAATCAAAACGGGAAAGGGAACCAAAAACCGACAATAGCGGATATTCAACTTTCGATGGTACTACGCCTTTCAAGCTTGAATAACTATGAACGTCGTATCAACAATATAGTCAGGGAAAAGTATTTAGAGGGATCAACAATACAGTCATTTATAATTATTCACGCATCGTCTGAGCTGGAGTTCTTAGATTTCTATGTTTACTTTGACAAGACGCTGGTAAAGTGTGATTCCTTCCTGAAAAGCATAGATTTGTGTTTTAAGTGCTTCATGTCTTACTCGCTGAGCTACCCGAAAACCTCAGAGCAAGCTTGGTACACAGTTCAAAAGATCATTTTCGAAAGAGACACCGCTTATGACATAAGATCATTGAATTTACAAAATCTAATCGATTTCATGAATAAAAATTAATTTTTTCAAAATGTATATCTGCTATCGCTGTCGAAAATTATTTCCAACGCCCAACAATTTAATATCCTATTTAAAGATTAAGCATCTGTTAACAAGAACATCCTTGAGGCTGCCTTGTCAGCAGGATGGCTGAAAACAAATTTTTACAAATTTTCTGAGTTTTCGGCGGCACTTCATTAGGTTACATACGCAATCAATTCCAAATCGAAGAAATTCATGAGAGGAATTGCTATTCTCTAAGTACAATCAAACCGTTAAAGAAGTTGAAGAAAAGGATGAGGAAGAACAAACAAATTTATGTTTTGAAGTCCAAAGCAAACAATCAATCATAGACCATTTAAAACAAAAATCTCTTGAATTTACTTTAAGTTTATATGAACTAAATTTTATGTTGAGGAAACACATATTGCAAATTCAAAACAATATTGTAATTTTACTTAGCTCTGTGTCTACAGCTATTGAAAAGCAAGTAAATCTGGAAACAGTGGATAGAATTAATCCGATTCTTGGTTTTTGCAAAGATCCATTGTAAGACAGAGCACACGTTTTTAAAAAATTAACCGATTCAAATCTATATAGGCAGCCAAAAAATATTTCCATTGATAATAAAATAACAGAAATAGTATTGAAAGGAAATCCCATCTTGGGTTCGAAGTCAAAAGACGTCTTTATAATGCCTTTGGCTTTTACAGTAAAAATAATTATCGATTTACAAAATATTTTGGAGCTAACATTAAGCAACATACAACAAAATTTAAAAAGTAATGACTTAACAAATTTGGCAGCTGGAGAAGTCTTTAAATCTATAGCAAAGCAATTTGATCCAGACATAGTTGTGCCATTTGTTTTATACTTAGATAACTTTCAAATTAACAATGCATTAGGAAGCCATACATTCTCCATATGTGGCTGCTACATTAATTTTCCTTTAATGCCAAAACATTCAATTTCTAAAGTTCAATACATATATCATGTCGCATTTATAGCGACAGACAAGCTTAAAAAGTGTAGAAATGAAAATTCAGTTTACCATTTAGTTGAAGAATTTAAAATTCTTGAGAGTGGAATTATAATAAGAACTAAAAACGGCTTGCAAAAAGTGCAGTTTATATTGTCATTAATTGTTGGCAACAACTTAGCTGTTAACAGCATACTTGGTTATGTCCAATCATTTAATTCAAAGCGATATTGCGGCGTTTGTTCTAGAACGAAACCCGAAATGAAAATAGATTCTTCCGAAAATGTAGAAAGTTTACGAACTGAACAATCTTATTACGAAGATTTACAGTTGAATAATTTTCAAGAAAGTGGATTGAAGCAAAATTGGATATTCAACGAGTTATTGTCGTTAAAAGTTATAAATAATTTTTGTTTCGACATTATGCACGATATTTTCGAAGGCGTATGTAAATATGATATTTGCCACATTCTTATTTCATTAATAAATAAAGGAATAATCACTTTAAATGAAATAAATAGCAGAAAATCGATATTTCCGTACGGAGAAACATCTGTAAAAATAGAAATGAATCGACTAAAAACATGTAATTTAAAAACGTCTGCAAGCGAAACAGAATGTCTTACCCACTTTTTGCCCTTGATGATTGGAGATAGAGTTCCACACGGTAATGAAGAATGGGAATTGTTATTAACTTTACTTGATATAATAGAGTTCTTACTTAAGTCAAATTATAAGAAAACGGAAATAGAAACGATACGAAGTGCAAAAACATCATCTTTAAGATATTTGTGGTGCATGAGGTTTGAGGCGAAACACAAGGATTCCAAGTTTTATTTTTACAATGTAAATTCAAGAATTAATCCTCCCCATTCATTAGCCATTAAATGTCAAATTAAGTTTGCAAAGTTTCTGACGGACCATGCCAAATCTATTGAGCCGTATTTAAGACTTACATCAAAAGAGTAAAGTATTTTGAATAATAATCTTGCATTAGAAATAAATGAAAACCATGGGAGTGTAAATAGCTTTAAATTTTATAACCAATTAGAATATAAGGGCACTGCTTATAAAATTAATTATTATTTAGGTTTAAATAAGAACAATTTTATGTTATTTACAATTAAGCAATTTTTAATTCACAAAATAAATGTAAGTTTATGTTTATTGTGAACAAATTGAAGTAGAATACAATTGTCATTTAAGATCATACATTGTAAAAAATCCATTAAGAAACTACATTTTTAATAATGACATTAAAGCCGTAAGTCTAAAATATATATAAATATAAAAAATTTCGCACTTTTATTGAGAATGGGTTATAGATAGATCGATATATAGATCGATGCGATGTTGAAACCGAGAACGGTTCTTCTCGAAATCGAGATCGATGCGATGCTGAAACCGAGAACCATTCATACCGAAAACAAGATCGAAGCGAAGTTGAATCCGAGAACGGTTCTTCTCGAAATCGAGATCGATGCTGTTCTGCAACTGACAACGATTCATACCGAAATCAAGATCGATGCGATGTTGAAACCGAGAACGGTTTTTCTCGAAATCGAGATCTATACGATGTTGAAACCGAGATCGGTTATTCTCGAAATCGAGATTGACCGTTCTCAAAGGCCCGTTCTCAAACCGAGAAGACTTCGATGACGATTTTAGTATTTTTAGTATGAGTCGTTCTTGGCTCACTTTTGAGATCGAAAATACTAAAATCGAGAACGCTGAGAACGGTTTTTTCTCTGAGTGTACTTTCCGACGAATCTATTATACTATTTTACGCTACAAGTAACGGGTATAAAAACATCTGAGCATCAGAAGATGTAGTGTTAATGTATCCTGATTTTAGTAGGACATTTAAACTAACAAAAGATGCTTCACAACATGGTCTCGGGGCTGTGCTATCTCAAACGAGCCACCCTTTACCTTGATTTCTAGAACAATCAGTAAGGTTTTTCGGTACTCCAAATACCTCGATATCGACGTATCGGATAAGTAGTAGGTGGTAGCCATTGGGAGAAACACATATGCTGCGCTATGCTGGCCAGATTCTACACGTTAACATTTCTCCGCCGATGGAAAATGTTTTTTGACGGCAATTGACAAATTTTTAAAGTTTGCAGTAGTCCAACCCATTGTTAGTTCTGTCAACAGCGAATAAGCCGCGGTCGCGCCGGCCCCAGCAGCAGTACGCTGCACCCGCCACATCGTCTCGCCGTATTTCAGCGTCAGCAACGCCACCACAGTCAACCCCCGCAGCCCCCCGAACATTGCTTTTGCTGAAGCGTCAAAAACTACTCTTCATTTGGTCGTCAGGCTTGAAACTCTAATTACAGCCAGGTGCGGAACAAGTACTTACCTTCTTTCTGCACTTCGACCATATGTCCTTAATCCATGAATTCATGCTTAAATTTAGCATAGTCTAATCATTCGTTTTCATTTTATCTCCAGATTCATGAAACGAGCCATTGCCTGTTTCTTTGAATCTCCTAAGGTGACATAATCTTTAAATGGAATTGACACAAAGTATCGCCCATTAAATTTTTTTTTTAGTTTTTATGAAATGAATTTCACATATTTCAGATTCGATATCATTCTATATTTGTCTTTTATCTTGACCATATCTTTTAATTCTATGGTAGTTGCTACAATTGCCTTTTTATACCCGTTACTCGTAGAGTAAAAGGGTATACTAGATTCGTCGGAAAGTATGTAACAGGCAGAAGGAAGCGTTTCCGACCCCATAAAGTATATATATTTTTGATCAGGATCACTAGCCGAGTCGATCTAGCCATGTCCGTCTGTTCGTCTGTCCGTATGAACGCTGAGATCTCGGAAACTATGAGAGTTTCAATACTGGGATTAGGCACGCAGATTCCTGAGATTCCTGCGCAGCGCAAGTTTGTTTCAGTAGAGTGCCACGCCCACTCTAACGCCCACAAACCGCCCAAAACTGTGGCTCCTACAGTTTTGATGCTAGAATAAAATTTTTAACTGAAATGTAATGTTCTCATCAATACCTATCGATTGACCCAAAAAAAGTTTGCCACGCCCATTTTAACGCCCACAAACCGCGAAAACCTGTGACGCCCACAATTTTCATGCTAGATAAAAAATGTTAACTGAAATTTATTGGTCTCGACAATACTTATCGATTGCCACGCCCACTCTAACGCCCATAACGCTTAAATCTGTATACCGCCGGTAGGTGGCGCATTTTAATCTCGCTTTGCTGCTTGCATATCTCCATTTAGCTGAGTAACGGGTATCTGATAGTCGAGGTACTCGACTATAGCGTTCTTCCTTGTTTTTATTAACATTATTATGTCTGAACAATTCGACGTAAGGGTCTGCTGTATATAGAAATCTAAAAGAGCCCACATTCCTTGGAATATTAAGTATTATGCAAAAATACTATCTTTTGTTTTGTAAAGTTTATTTGCTTTCCAAATTTTTGTCTCAAATGGTTCAGGTATCCCAACCCGTGGGGATAGTTGAACCACCTATCAGGATAACACAAAAACTACAATTATATAAAAAAAGTGTAATTTATTTCTTTGTGCATGCCTTCTTTCTGTTCGAATATAAACATTGCACCTTTACAGCATGAAATCAAACATTACAATATTGCTATTTATTCTTATTTTTGTTTTTGTTCTTTCTTTTTTCGAAGGTTTTCTTGAGTTTTCTGATTGTGTTTTTCCGCGATCAATTTTTCTGCGACGAGTCTGTAGCAATGATACTCCTTCCTCGTTTTCTTCCCCGAGTCGTCTGTTTTCGTGGTTTAGCCTTTGGGTACCCTCTTAAGTCCTCCTGGTTCATGTATCCCCACAAGTCATTAGCCAATTAGAAGTGATTTGAAGAAAACATGAAATATTTAAACTGCGTGAGCTATCCGTGGAAATTTGCGTCTTCTTACGATAAAATACAATTTTATGAAGTTCAATGCCACTGGCAAAGCACGATAAAATGTTTCCGAGAAAACGTTAGGTCACAATTGAAGCTGCAAGCGGCGAATACAAACTTCGATTAGCGATAAAAACGACAACAATCGTTTGACGCGACTGTGCGTGCGTGTGAGGTTAGGATATCGACTAAGTAAGCAACACACATATAGATGGCGCACAAAATCATGACAGAAGGTGAAATATTTGTAGTGGTTCATCTATCCCCGTGGTTCACCTATCCCCACTCTCCCCTACTAAATTCGTCGGAAAGTATGTAACAGGCAGAAGGAAGTGTTTCCGACCCCATAAAGTATATATATTCTTGATCAGGATCACTAGCCGAGTCGATCTAGCAATGTCCGTCTGTCCGTATGAACGCTGAGATCTTGGAAACTATAAGAGCAACTGGGATTAGCCATGCAGATTCCTGAGATTCCTGCGCAGTGCAAGTTTGTTTCAGCAGGGTGCCACACCCACTCTAAGGCCCACAAGCCGCCCAAAACTGGGTCCCCTACAGTTTTGATGCTAGAATCAAAATTTTAACTGAAATGTATTGTTCTCATCAATACCTGTCGGTTGACCCATTTTGACACGCTTACTTTAACAGCCACAAGCCGCCCACAAACTTCAAAAAATCGTAATTAAGAACGTGGATACCTCGGAAAATATCAAAGATAGAGAATTGGGATCTCAGATTTAGATTTCGTAGCCTCGTTCGCAGCGCAAGTTTGTTACGCGAATATGCCACGCCCACTCTGACGCCCACAAGCCGACCAAACCTGTGGCGCCCACAATTTTCATGCTAGATCAAAAGTTTTAGTCTCGTCAATACCTATCGATTGATCCGAAAAAAAGTTTGCCAAGCCCACTCTAACGCCCATAACGCCTAAATCTGTCTACCACCCACATAACCATATATTGAGATAGCGCTTTGCTGCTTGCATATCTCCATTTCAATTTGGTCCCATTAGCTGAGTAACGGGTATCTGATAGTCGAGGTACTCGACTACAGCGTTCTTTCTTGTTTTATTTGTTGTTTATATTGGAAGTCACTTAAATTTATTTGTTAAGCACAATTTTTTTACACAATAATTAATTACATTTTTATTACAACAGAAAGGATGCTTTTGATTTTTAAATTCATTCTCTGTTTCTTACCAATGATTGGTAAAACAAGCCACCTTTATAAACTGCAAGTGTTACCGATTTTACTTTTAAGGTGCTTGCCAAATTTTGAGTCTTTCACCACTGGTGGGTGAAAACTGCAGAGTTGTGGAAGGACCAAAATAAAAGGGATGATTATTAATTTATTAAAAGAGAGGGAGAGTTATCTTTTGAACCCCGCACAGGAACCCTTGGTGCAGCGTGATAAAGCTCAAGTGGCCTGCACTACAGATTACAAGTGCTAACACCGATCCCTTGTAAGGTTTAAATTACAGATCATAGTCTATGGCTCTAGATTAATTTACAGCTGTCACATCACATTCACAGAGCATACAAAAGCATTATATTTTATTTTTTTTTTAGTGTTCGTCTGAACACTAACAGTATTGCGTGGATAGTGTCACTGAGTTTTCGGTTAACTTTGATGAAGCGGCTATTTCCGCTAGCGCGCGGTGAAAGCTCGACCTACCCGTTTGATGTACCGTGGAGTGGCGGACTGTTATAGATCGTTATTCCAAAATGATCCGTCAAAATGGATCGAATGGTCTCAGAACTTAATAATTTTTAGTTATCACAGTACATTGTATCTATCCTGGGGAAAGAATTTATAAGCTGGTGAAGTGGAACTTTCACGTCAATCCGGCAATCGTTATTGACCGATATCCATTGGGTTGGACTAGTGCAAACTTTAATCGTTTGTCAATTGCCGTCAAAAACATTTTTCATCGATGGAGAAATGTCAACGTGCAGAATCTGGCCAGCGTAGCACAAATAAGGTGTTTCTCTCATTTTGTGTTTTTCTGGATACCCGTTATATTTTCCTTTGGAACAGACTTTGCAGTTGGCCACCACTTCATTTAGGATTTTCGTCATCTTTGGAAATAAATAGCAAGAACATGCTTTGCATTCTCTTGCGCTGCTCGGTGTGCTCTGTTACGTTCGGAAATGGCTACTTATCCGATACGTCGATATCGAGGTATTTGGATTACCGAAAGTCCTTGCTGATAGTTCTAAAAAACATGCACCCAAAAAAAAATCGTCATCAATATGCCATTATTTAGGTGTGAATGTGATACTATTGAGTGTCAAAAAATCTCTGATACGAAGAACATCTAATTGACACTATTTTGATCCTAGGTGTAGTGTCATTTTCACCCACACTTATCAAATTGACACTCAAAGATTTTTTTTTGGGTGAGGATATAATAGTCCGTCTGTCCGTATGAACGCTGAGATCTCAGAAACTATTAGAGCTAGAGTGTTGGGACTTAGCATGCAGATTTTTGAGCTTCCTGGGCAGCACAAATTTATTTCAGCATGGTGCAAAAAAGGTCTATAACACTAAACACTAACACACTAATATTTTGTATAAATTTAACTAAGAGTTTGTTCTTATTATCAATACAAACCTACATGCCAAAAAAAACTAAAAGTTGTTTGACCTCTGAGTTGACAAAGCCGCACAAATCTCTTAAATTCCGTTAGGCAATTTAAAATGAAAAATTGGCTATTTTCACCAAAAATATTAAAAAAACATTTTTCTCAACGCAAGTTTTTCCATAAATAGAATTTGCAGTGAATGGTTTTTTTAACTGGGAAGAGATGTTTATTTTATTTATATTCGGCCACTCAGGGGATTAGAGTGGCCGATTGGGATATTGGGATTAATGTCCATCAGTTCTGGTGCCCGATTATTTCCACCGTAGGAACGCTGTCCTTGGTTGGTTGAGGATCCCTGCTCTTGGTTGGCTTTGAAGAAGTAAGGATTTTGTTTGTGCCTAACCGAAGTAGACACTTCTGAGTCATGCCGCTGGACAAGGGGGTAATGAGCACATGACGCTGGGACGGGGACGCTTTGATGGCAGGAGGATCGCGTCGCGGCAATGGTAACGATGGTTTTTGCGTTGCCGAATATATCGGTGCTACTGAGCGCCTGGTATTGTCCCCAACTTGGCTACTGCTTGATTTTTTGGGTGCTGGTCATGTTGAGCACCCTTGGGTACGAACATTCTCCCCCCCATTGAGGGGTACCGTCATTTAAGGCGTGATGTCGGTCAGCCCTTGGCCGAATTGTGTAGAAACCAGCTAACAAATCATTGACCAAGGAGGATCTTTCCTTCAGCTGTGGATGTTTATGTTTGTGATTATTGATGCTGCAAGCAGAAAATAAAATACCAAAAATGGTCATCAATCGGGTCTTTTTTTGCATATCAATTTTGATCCCTTATGTTGCCATATCATATTCATATTTTCGAACATATGGAATTGATATTTTTGAACATGTCAACTTGGTATTTTTCATACCAGATTGATATGCGCACATATCAAAGTTGTGACCAAATTGTGGTATTTTTAATATCCAACTGATATGCTTTCATATCAAACTGATATGCTTTCATATCAAACTGATATACTTTCATATCAGGTTGATATGTTTGTTTTTACTTTTTTGCGTCCTATAAACAAATAAATATTGAAAACTCATAAAATCGCTGTAAATATTTATTTTTTATATATTTCGGATCAATTCTAAAAATAATTCCAGGACTTAGCAATAAATGACCGATCACGCTGTACTCGGATGCCTCCTGCAGCTTTGCATCAGCGCCAGGAAGTCCTTCTTCTGTCCTCGATAGAAGTTTTCCAGCGAAGTGGTGGACGCCAACTTGCCCAGTTCGGCATCTTTGACAGCCATTTTACTTGGTGTAGTGCAGTCTGTGTAGTCAGCCACCGAAAAGCACGTTACAGTGTCCAAGAAATAAATATATTAGAATTAGACAAACATCAAGTAAGTACAATTAAAAATGAGATAATTACCATTTGCAAAAAAAAAATACACAACTTATGTAAATGCTTCACTTTTGTACACTTTCACTTTTCGTCGAATGTTAGAGTGACCGCGGCAATTCAGACAAAAAATAACTTTAGTACCATACTAAATACCATAAATACACAAAAAAATACGAAAGCACAGTCATACTTTTTTTTCGATGTTACGTTTGATATGAAAAACATGTCAAATTAATTAGAATTTATATTAATATGATGAAAAATCATATGAATTAGAAATGTTGATATGAATCCGTATCATATTGATATGAATTCGAATTAATTTGATATGTATATGGTGATATGTGAATATTGAGGAGACAATATCAAACGGGTATGGTTCCGTTTTTTCTCTGTGGCACGTCGATGGGAGTGGACCTTCTGCAACAAAGCTTATATATTTTTTGGTTAAGCCTAGTACTCAGATCGGCTAAGAGTTTCACTAGTCGAAAAATCTTATTCTTTGTAGTGTGACCGAAGTTTTCAAAGTTCACCCGCAATGCATGTAGCATGGTCTAACTGTCAAGCAGTTGGGTTTGAAATTTAAATTTAAAAAGGTGGAGTCTGCTGGTACACAAAGAAATTGAAATAAAAACAAGGAAGAACGCTATAGTCGAGTACCTCGACTATCAGATACCCGTTACTCAGCTAAATAGAGATATGCAAGTAGCAAAGCGAGATTAAAATGCGCCACCTACCGGCGGTATACAGATTTAAGCGTTTTGGGCGTTAGAGCGGGCGTGGCAAATTTTTTTTGGACCAATCGATAGGTATTGACGAGACCAATACATTTCAGTTAAAATTTTTTATTCAGCATAAAAATTGTGGGCATCACAGGTTTTCGCGGATTGTGGGCGTTAGAGTGGGCGTGGCATATTCGCGTGACAAACTTGCGCTGCGTATAAGGCTACGGAATCTAAATCTGAAATCCCAATTCTCTATCTTTGATAGTTTCCGAGATATCCACGTTCATAATTACGATTTTTTGAAGTTTGTGGGCGGTTTATGGGCGTTAGGGTGGGCGTGGCAAACTTTTTTTTGGGTCAATCGATAGGTATTGATAAGAACATTACATTTCAGTTAAAATTTTTAGTCTAGCATCAAAACTGTAGGAGCCACAGTTTTGGGCGGATTGTGGGCGTTAGAGTGGGCGTGGCACTGTACTGAAACAAACTTGCGCTGCGTAAGAAGCTCAGGAATCTGCACGCCAAATCTCAATAGCCTAGCTCCCATAGTTTCCGAGATCTCAGCGTTCATCCGGACAGACAGACGGACAGACGGACAGACGGACATGGCTAGATCGACTCGGCTAGTGATCCTGATCAAGAATATATATACTTTATGGGGTCGGAAACGCTTCCTTCTGCCTGTTACATACTTTCCGACGAATCTAGTATACCCTTTTACTCTACGAGTAACGGGTATAATAAATGGAATGTTTTACGAATGTTTTTATTTATGTAAATTAGTAGTTTAAAGCTACCTTTTCGTCCCACGGATGCTTCGCCATCTTTCCCGCTCCACCGCAGTCCAGCTCCGAGTCTCAATGGGCATATTGGACCTTGAAGAAGTGGGAGCCGGATTGGAAACGGGGTTGATCCGCTGATGCTGCAGGAAGTCGCCCAGCATCCTGGCAGTGGCTGACTATGGCTTCTCCAACTGTTCCTTAGCGGGCGCCCTATTTTCCTCCTCCCTATAGAAGCCAGCGGGTCCTCCAGCTCCGCTTAAGCTGCCAAGTAGCTGGTGGTGGTGGTGTCCGGAGTCCTAATGGAGAGGTCGTCGGAAATCGTATTACTGATGGTTCTGCTAAAAAGATACAACGCAACCAAATTCTTTTGGCCAGATCTTACTTTCTTTGCGAGGACGCGCCCGAAAGGATGTCCATGTAGAAATCGAAGTCCCAGTTGGCATTTTCCTTCCCACTGGGATTCTCTAGTGAATCTCATCCAGCACTTCAACTATTCTGCGAATTTGCCCCTTTTGTGGAATTGCTTCCTGTCGGTGAAATCCCGCAATAAAGGGCATAAGCTTGGATTTGGCGTCCTATTTCATCTGCTCTGACCTTCTGGATTCGATTTTGGGGTTTTCCTTCCATTTTTAATTTTTAGTTTCCACATCGCCTTTGCACGAACACCGCCAAAGATTAAATTTCCTATTCTTTGGGCCGCGGCTAACGGCGTTCATCGAAAATTCACTCGCAAAATCTGGTATTTTTTCTGGTATTTCCTTAGCTCATCTGAGTACCGCGCTGAAAAACAGACCCGACGAAAAGCGTTAGCCGCGTATTTGCCTCTCGCTCACTCCTATGGTTAGCTCGCGGTTTTCGTCGATCTGAGTACTAGGCTTTAAGTTTTTGAAATGTTGTACAGAAGTCAAAATTCTTGTAGCCCTTGTAGCCTTGTATGTAGCCCTTAGTTTTTCGGGGTTTGCGCCCTTTCCTTTCCTTTAGTATAAATGGTCCAGCGTAATCACAGCCTGAGTGCTGGAAGGGTAGAGCTTCTGTTATACGGATGCCTGGTAGATCGGCCATGAAATGGTGCTGCGTGGGTTTACGTAAGCGAAAACATTTGATGCAGTTGTGAACCAGATATCTTATCAGGTTACGCGCACCAAAGATTCAGTACTTTTGACGAGCAATTACAAAAAGTGCAGAAACTCCTGGATGAAGATTTGTCGTATGCTCGTGTTCCAAAATCATTCTTGTGATGCGGTTCGACTTCGGAAGCAGTATTGGGTGTTTTACATCAGCTGGTAATTGTGAGTTGTCCAGTCGTCCACCAACTCGAAGAAGGCCATCCTTGCAGATAATCGGCGAGAGCTTCAGCAACTGGGAGCGGCTGTAAAGTGGCTTGTTTTCCGTCAGTAGTTTGCGGTCTTCCATGAAACATATCTGAGCCTCTTGCAGGCAAAGAATGTGAGCAGCCTGAATCTCCTCAAAGCTGAGCATCTTTCCATTTGCCAGCGTTAGAGATTTAATGGCCCTGGTCTTTTTGAGCATCTTTCCATTTGCCAGCGTTACAGATTTAATGGCCTTGGTCTTTTTGAGTCAAAGCTTCGATTGATTACAAGGAGCAGCTTTCCTGTGCGGTTAATGCAATGGTCTTCACTTCTTCTTTGCCATGGTTTTCTAAATGGGAAGAACAGAACTTTTTACATGTCAATTTACCGCTAGCAAATGCATCTTGCAGCCATGAAGGTCCCATCCACCATAAGTCGAAATGGAGAAGGTCCTCCTTTGTGTTTACATGATGCCATGCGTTGCGGGGTAAGGCTTCAAGTATTTCTGAGGATCTATTGGCTACAAATGTTTTAAGCTTAGATGGTGGATATGAAAGCCAGGTCAAGACTATGGTTGAGTCACACCACGCATGTACTCCAATGGCCTTGTGTTGTAGCGCAGCCATGACTGATAAGATTAGTCGGCTCAGTAGCAAAGCCCCACACAGTTCAAGGAGCGACTCTGGTTTTTCCTGCTATGAGTAAAACAGATACGGTGCCATCTGCTCGCACCACTCTGCTATAGATGACTACGGAATATGTCTTGATGGAGGCATCTGAAAATCCATGCAGTTCGATGTGACGTTGTTTTGGACAAGCCGTGGCATGCGTAGATCTCGAAGGATGTGTAGGTCGTTACGGCATTTATTCCACCAGTCCGCAATTTTCGGAGGAAGCTCCGTGTCCCAGCCGAGATCGAGTAGCCACAATTCTTGGAACAGAATTTTAAACTGCACCACCACTGGCGATAGAATACCCAGAGGGTAAAAAATGCGTGCCACATCTAACAGCACTTGGCGATTGGTGTTTTTCGGACTTGTTGTAAGGCAAACTTTGTAGGATAACATATCCTCTTCAGGATTGCGATAAATGCCAAGAACCTTTGCAGTAGAATTGGATCCTTTGCTTTGTACTTCGGTTGTAGCGAGAGATCTGTCAGCGACACTTGATGAATTGGAAACCCATTTACCAAGTTCCATGCCTGCACATTTCATCAACTGAATCAATTCATTTCACGTACCATGGTTCCATGATGTGGCAAGTAAAAGCTCGGCCTTTTGTCAATGTCTTCTAGCGACAGTTCTCGCATGTGGCCCAACTGAAGATAATCTCGCATAAATTGCATATACTGTGAATACAGATGGGGTCTATCATTAGGCGGTGCTCTACACCCCTGAATCTTGTTAGCGCTCCTTGTAATGTATCCGAAAACTGTTCCTTGGAGTTTTTGATCGGAATTTCGACGATGTAACGCCCCTTAGAGTCCCGAGTGTGCGTCTTCACAAAGTGCTGTTCAACTTCATCGTCCTCTGGTGTTCCATGGAAATCCTGGTTGACATCCTCCAGCTCCCATAAGCGCCGTAGCGGTGTGTCAATGCTTATAGCCGTGGGCATTGTAGTTGTAGATTAACATCCGGTAGTAACGATAGACGTTATGACCCATCCAAATATGGTCGAAATGGCGATGATGTTGCCCTGGTTGTCGAACATCTTTTGACCGGTGAACACGGTCCAGACGTAGTCGCTGCCCAGGAGTATATCAACTGGCGCCAACGGCTGATAGTCAGAATCCGCATGCTCAAAAGCAGTGATTGCCTTGAGTGCTGAGGCGGCGATATCGTGTCTTGCCAACGTGAAGGTAATTTTGCTGAGTATGTGTGCACGTACCTTCATTGTGTGATCAGAGATCCTTGACTGCAAGTCCAGTGTGCCAGTCCGAGTGCCTGTACGCACCGCTCGGAGATGTACGACAGTTCCGAACCACTGTCCAAAAGCACTCGGCACACTTTTGCGTTTCTAACAAACACCAGAGCTGTTGTCAATGCACTTTTTCGTAGCCCTTGTGGCTGTGTTGCGGTTGTTGATCTGTTGCATAATGACTCAGCTGTGGGAGCCACTTGTGGGACGTAGTATCTTCGGGAGCGGTTGGTGTCTTTCTCCAACTCTTGAGTGTGTCGAAGTGACAGAGGCTTGCGAACTAAGAATATATGCATGTAGCAGAGAGTGGTGACGATTGTGGCAAAACTTTCATGTGAATTTGGATTCACACCTTCGCGACACATGTCCAGGCTCAAGGCAGTTAAAGCACAGTGATTTTGCCTTTACAAATG